ATGAACAAAAAAGCCAGACTTGGAGTCTCTTATTTAACATCTTTCCACACGCACACGCACACACGCACACACACACACACACACACACAAATCAAATCTTCTTTAGTAAAGCAGAAGCTGTTCTAGCTAGGAAGGGGTTGGTGGGACATCTGCCAGGGCTCACTTTTTGGGTAGAAATCTGGTACTTCAAGCATTTGATAAAGTAGTGTCTGTATATTTTTTTAAATTTATACATTTAACTATTCAGCCAAATAGTCAACACAGGGAGAGATTCCTTGTGGTGGAGTCGGTAATAAAATTCAGTTTAGTTACTGCAAATAAACATTTTGTTGATAATTTCTCACCTTAAATGTGGGAAAAGAACTTGTTGCTCTCTGTATTGTTCTCTGTATTGTTCAACAGAAAGTAGACAAACTGGCCCCATGACAATGAGGTGCCAAAGCCATAATTATCCCTAAAATGTCCCCACTGTAGCTGCAGTGCTTCCACCATGTGGGATTTCATTTTTACCATGACTCAGTCTGCAGTTTGCTTCGCTGCCTCATAGAATTGTGATTTATAAAACCAGGAAACAATCTGTGAGGCATTCTTTGTTGTTGGTCTTCGTGTCAGTTCATGTCAGGACAGGAAGAGGGAGGACGACAGGAGGAATGGGAAGCAAAGTCACAGACCTTTTTTTACTATTTATGTTAAAAAGGACAGCATAGGTAGACAGAAAATGACAATGTGTAACAAGACACTAAACACAAAACACTAACAAGACATTTAAAGTAGAATGTTCTGACATTATTGCCATGTCCATGACTCATGCGCTCATCCTCCACAACAGTATGGATAATCATTATTGATACAGCAACTTTTCCACATTTAAAAAACATTTGATAATTTTTGTTTTAGGTAAAATAGAATTTAATAATGTCTATTTAGGCTCATGAAGTAAAAATTAGCTTAGTCATCATGGCTTCTCTGTTGCTAGCAGAACATGCTAATGTTCTTCATCCTCCTAATAAAGGTCTGTCTATTAATTTGTCCAGCAAGCCGGTCTCCTATTGTCTGCCGGTCTTCTGTATAATAGAACATTGCTACTAATCACACAAAGTCTGGAAGGCTTGGCTGGAACCGAAAGAAGTAGTAGAACCCTACTTTATTTTCCTTCACACAAAAAGACACACGTATAGGAAGTAAATCTACATTTTCAGTGTAAAAGCACACCTTGTTCTGATAATTACTGCCATTTTCATGATGTTTAACCTCTTCATACCACTCCATTAGGAGCTCTTGTTCAGCGTCGTATGAAGCAGTGACTGTTATCCATTTTAACATCGGTGATTCTGTGAACGATTCTGACGTCTATTCAAGAATGCCGTGAATACAGAGCCGTGCCTTTTCATCCTGGCTCAGCGTATGTGCAACCAATTAAGCTGAGATTGGTGAAAAAGAATAGGTCAAAGTGGGCTACCTCAGTTATCCTGGATGTCGTTATTCTACATTCGTGCAATGCCCCCTAGATTTGTTTAATCCCTTTATGTTTAATTTGGTTCACTATTATTATAGTGTTCTTATTGTGTACTGTTCATTAGAGCAACTTTAACTTTCAATAATAACTTCAGCTGTAAATTATTCTAGGTTATACTTTGTTTAATGTTTACATTTTTGTTTTATTTGACATTTAAACAGTATTTATTCCTTTTGTCAATACTACTACTACTACTATTATTATTATTAATAATAATAATAATAATAATAATAATAATAATAATAATAATAATAATAATAATACCTTTTTTATACTTCTGAAAGTCTCTTAGTTACTAGCTCTTATTTTATAAACAAAAAGCCTTGGGTCACACAAAGGCTGGTATGTTGATCAGTACTGGCCTAATACTGGCAACAATGTGCATCTCAACAAAGTAGAGCATGGACCAGAGCAGCAAAAACCTGGCAGGAAGACAATAATGGACAAAGGTTTTAGCACAAGTATTTTCAAGCCAAACATTGTACTTTTGTTCAGATAGCAGTGCTTATTAATCATAGATGAAAGTTTTAGTTGTTGTCCAGCTCTTATGATGGTAACACCAACATACTTTATATATTACAACATAAATAACTGTAGTGAGTAAATACACACCACAGGTTAAGGTAGATCATCAGCTGTTAGCTATGGCTAAGATCATTCCAGTACACAATAGTTTGAGTTGGACAACAACTTGTAGTAGTATCTATAAGTCCTACCAGAGTTTGGGCAAGCATGTAAACTACTTCACCAACTGTGTTATTGGCACAGTATTTATACAATGACTGGTACAACTTCTCTACTAGTGTAGCAAGTATTCAGAGATGCTTTTTTGTTACTCAGAGCTAAACAGGATAGCCCCTTTTGCGTCTCTCTTTCTGGTTTGCTTTGTTTCCTCTGTTGTACTCTTGCCTTGAGAAACTGTATCTGTTTCACTGTGACGCTGTGGCTTTTGTGTGGATAGTGTACAGTTTCATCCTGAGCTCACCCTCAGAGAGTCTGCTAATGTCCATTCATTGGTGTCCTGAGTGTTTGCAGTCATGTTTCTTTGTCATATACAGGATGGCAATACCTTTCAAAACAATGGCATATTTAAAATAATTAGACATTCTTTATGTCTATAGCCTAAATCCATAGTTGATTCACAAAGTGCTTAATATGTAGCTTGGTCCATGATCAATGCCTTTTGAGAATTTAGCTCTTAGGAAGGACCCAGCTCTGAAGCACAAACACAAATGTGTAGTACCTAAGAAACAGCAGAAATCCGTTTGAGCAAAAGTAAAGTAAGCAGAGAAGTAACTGTTCTGACTAAAGTAGAGAAAACAGCATAACTGCTACCTGAGTAATTGCTGAATTAATGTTGCTAGAAAAACAACTCCAATATTTATGTAGTAATTTTCACCACCAGAAGGTGGAGACACAATACTGACTCATGTTCAGTCTCACACAAGGATCCTCTGACCTTGGTGCTTTGCTAACCAGCCTTTGAAAATATTCCAAAAAGCATTTGTCTTAAATATTTGGCCTCAAACTTTGGGCCTAAATAAATAGGCGTATGGTCTTAAGAATGGTTTCATTGAATTGCACAATTGGTACAGTTGTCTATGCAGAGGATTTTATTAGGAATTACCAAAACAGCAACGGTTAAAGTTTAAATTTTTTATTAGGAATTACCAAAACAGCAACACAGATAAATTAAGTTTAAATGAAGGGTGTAGAGTTAAATGGTTTAGGCATGTGCCAAATACGAGGTTAAATATTCAAAAATACAATTTTAGAATTGAAAAGATTGGTGCATTTAGTCGATAGCCCGTCCTTTTGGTTGTATTGATGTTATATGTCCACAAGGCGGCAGTAGAGCCCTGTCAGGAGGAAGTGCCACTGCCGTCTGCTCGGTATCCTCAGTTTGTTGTGTTGATCATTCCGTCACAGTGAATGAGCTGCTTCCCCCCAGATATCTACAGTTTCAGTAAGTTGTTTGTATCGTATTCTCAGTGGAGATGCAACTTAGTTCTGTGTGTTTTATTAAGAAAAACTGCTGTTTTTTCCCATTATGTAGTCGTCTTTTTGTTACCAATTCACCGTGAAAACAACCCCATGTGTAGCCTCGATTGTTGCTTAACATTAATGCCTGTTGGCAGATTTCAGTCAGCCAAAGAGCTTTTCCTGTTGGCAGTACTGCGTTTCATGTTAGAAATTAAAAGCAGTAGTTATGCTTTTATTTATATTTAAGCACAGTAAGGACCAATTATGTCAATTTGTTTGGTCCAATTAGTTTGGTTTGAATCATGTTTTATTTATTTTTTTTAGCAGCAGCTTCAAATCAGTGCTTTTGTGTTACATTTTAATTTCAAAAAATCACACCAGAGACACACCAGGAACTCCTCCTAAATTAGGCACACCTGCAGCTGATTGAATGCTAGTACAAACAGAGCTGGAGCTGATTGGTTCTTTCACCTTCAGTGTCCTTTTTGAAACTGCACACAGCTTCCACAAAGAGCCTCTGCGTGTATGTTTGTATCATTCTCTCTAATGTTTTCATTGTTTTAATGTTTATAAATTAAAAAATTGTGGTCACCAACAATTTATGAACTTTTTCTCCTTTAAAAAAAAGTTTTTTAATTTAATTTAATTTTTTAAATAAAAACGAACCACCATTGGAGTTTTTGTCTGTATCTTGTGCTCTCAGCCATCTTATTAGACAAACATCAAAGAGCAGATTAAAACTCTTAGCTTTTCAACACTAAAATCTTTCACAGCAGGAGAATACTTAAGCTTTTCCTTTAAATATCAGTGAAATCCAATTAAAATGTCTGAGAAACTGCTCTTGAAAGGTGCCCACCGACGGGGCTAAAGCTTAATAGAGCCTGACTCTTTATTAGATACAATCTCTCTAAACAGGACACGCATACACATAGACACCTCCTGCTAAGTCATCTGTAAGAATAATCATCATCTTTATAGTATAGGTCTTACCTCAAAAGGTGGAATTTAGCACAGTTGTGTCAGCTTTAAGTTCTTAATGTTTTTTAGTTATACATTTGTTATTTAAATATAAAACCATACTTGCCTTTTGCAATGGAATTGTAAGAAATTGAAGAATTTATTCAACTGATTGAACTACAATTAAATATTAGTTTTTTAAATGTAGGGTTTTATAATACATTTTACAATTTTCATCATATTAACTAGTGGAAATCCTGTTGGTTTTTCTGCAAAATTATTTTTGTTCATAACTTGTTGTTAGTTTATTGTTGCAGAAGAGAAGTTTTAAAAAAAAATCCTTTGGGGAAAAAAAATGACCAAAAAGTAAATCATTACCAGACTAATGTTGATGATTATTTCTCCATACAGTCACACACAGTGTGTATTAACATATGCAATGCAGGCAATCATTGCAGTGTATGAGGGTCACAGTGTCTGATTGAAATGTATTAGCCACATGTCACTCACTGTACATTAAAGAACATCACCTTGTCTCTTTCAGGATGTTGAAGTACGCTGCAGTGCGAGGTGGCCTCAGCCTATTGGCTGTGAGGCGTGCCTGTCTTCTTTCCCGCTCTGTCCACTCTGCCCCTCAGAGTGAGTACCGGCCAATCAAGAAGGTCATGGTGGCCAACAGAGGTAAGACCTACATTGTCATTCACACACAGTCACTATGTGACCCTGGTAAACCCTGGTACAGCTACCCCCTCCACTATAGAGGACAATTAAGATAATACTGTTAAATTTAGTTCCATGCATAATGTAGGAACAAAATTATGACATTTAAAATCTTCCTCAGGCAAAAGAACAAACACCCTTAATTTTTAATGACCACCGTTTAGTTTGCCTTGGCATCTTGTAATATTAAGCACACGTTGTATATGGGCGTGTGTTTTAGCTGTCTTTCGCCTTCCTCAATTCCTTATGTAACCAAATGCATTTCACATTCAGGGAACTTTTTAACATGTTGTGTTATATTAATGTTGATCTCATTTTCACATTCAGGAAACAAGTCTGAGATTATTCGCATTATAGGTCATACTGTATACTTGGTGATTCTCTAGTTCAGTGTTGGTGAAACTGTTGTCACTTCAGAGCGAATACATGGTGCAAAAAGATTGCGTTAGCCCATTTTCTTTTCATTATGCATTTGACCAGGTTAAGCAATAGGAATGTGTCTCTTGGATTATATTGTTGAAAGGTCAACAATATCAGAGTTTCACTAAAGAGAAAATATTTCTGTGTGAAAGAGAGTGAAATGGAAAGATAGTAATAGAGTAAGTGGTTTCCAGAGGCCTAACAGTCACTGGTCTGGGTATTATATGTATGTGGTGTAAACATCACTGATATGGTTGGGTAATACTTATAATCACTGCCCCCCTTATGTTAAAGCCCCTTGCTTTTCAGAAAGGCAGCAAATGGGCAATTACAATGAGCCTGTCAGCTGTTGTGTTTAACTTATAAGATACGTATATATAAAAGAACTTTCTTCCAAACCATTTGTAAGTTTGTAATATAAATAAAATAATTCGGTACACCAGCTGTTTAGTATGGTGTTTGTATTGAGCATGCAAATCCAAGTCCTGCAGATGCTTTAATCCAGGGGTGCATCAGTGCCATCATGACAAGTCAAATACTAACAATAATAAGGGAAACAAATAAAGCGGAGAAGGGCAAGGTGCTCCAGTGATGAGCTTTGCTTCACTTGTGACCCAGTGATGTCGGTTGTGAATGATCCGGTTCTTAGAGCTGGCTCTTTGAAGTGTCTGACGGAAGCTGGATTTGTTTGTTTTTCTCGTCTGTTTTTCTATAAAAGCTGCACATGTTGGTGAATATATATGTGGTGGTGTCTGTTTCCATGCTGAGAAGGAGGAGGATGAGGAATGTTACAGACACACAACACAGTAGTGTTGGGTCTGTTGCGTACGAAACAGCTTAGAGCCGTCTCTGTGATGTGACACCCTTTCCTAGTTCACAGACAACACAGCGCGTGCACACAGAAAGAAACAAGAGGGAGGGAGACGAGCGCTGAACAGAGAAAAGTTAGTGCTGCTGGAGAGGTGGAAAAATGAGTGAAAGCCAGAAACAGCACAATCTGGATGCTGATGAGTATCTGTGTTGCAGTGTAAATGGTGACAATAAGGTCATGACTGACAGTGCTGACATAGAAACAGTGTTGGAATAACTCGTGTAACGTTCATGTAACATGTCCGCAATGAGAGGCTTTCAGGTACCATCGTAAATGTGAGAATCTGACAATAAAGCTACTGATGAAGAGCTCTTGGACTGGTGCTGAGATGCTTAATCCTGAGGGTATTTTGACCAAGGCGTGTTACAGACCTTCCTTTAAGATGCCAAGTAACTGATTTAATAAGTAGGAAAAAGGGCATAATATGTCATGTTCAAAAAAGTATAGAAAATCCTGTCTTCCCATATTTGAGTTTGCTGTGTTGTTGTTGTTTTTTTTTGTTAGTTGCGTTGCCCTGTGGTGTAGACACTCCTCCTGGCTTCCAAATGCTGCAGCACAGTCACCTTCTGCTCCCGATGTTATATCTCACTGTCCTTCAGTCATGGAACAATTTGAGGCTTCCCTGTGTTGCTCGCTGCAGGCAGTGCTCTCTTCCCAATTAGGCAGCTCTTGGTCAGCCCCTGGTGGATGGCTGACTATTGGTGTTTTTTTTTTTAAAACATGTTATGTCCCTGACAATCATCCTAATTTAATTATGGCAGCCAAAATTGTGATCATGATTAAAATTCGATTAATCTGCAGCCCTAGGTCTTACTGTCACTCTCACTCGCTCTTATTGGTCGGATGTGATACCAACACCACATTACATCAAATTATTCACAGTGGAGTGCACCAGACTGTGTGTCTGTGTGATAAGCAGATATTGGACCCTTGCTTCTTTGTTTTAATAATATTTCCTTTAGCATTTCCTCTCATTTAAATTTAACAGTGCTTCTTCGCTCTCTCTCTCCCTCGCTCCCTAGCTCCCTCCCCCCTCTCTTCTTTTACCCTTTCTATGCCACTTCTTCTGCGACTCCTCCAGTGTTGATGCTGGACAACATAAGTGTTTTTGCAATTGTTTGGTCATAAATCAGTTTTATTCAGCATTATATTCTTTTGTTTGTTTATATTCTGGTTTTCTGCAGATGTCACTGTCCTACCTTGCTTTTTCTTTTTTGTTTAGAGTAGTTGTTCAGTGTTTGAACACTGTCCTCAACTTCAAGAGAGAACTGCACAGC